AATGCTACGTGAAGTTCAATGGAACTGTGAGTCCTACTCATATCGTGGGAAAATTCAGCTATCATCTGTGCCAAATGTGTATAAGTGTTTTATAATTTTTATATCTGTCTTTCCATCTTCTTGTTATTTTTTTTTATCGTATATTAGATATCATGATAGTAAATATATTCTTCCGACGTATTAAGTGTAATGCCTGTTTGTATGCAGTAGTCGCTAGGATTCCGCAAATTAAAATGCTTGCTAACATATCAAAGTAACCTTTAAATATTTTCACTTGTATCAATTTATAGAAGCAGAAAATAAATTACGCTACAAAGGTCCTGCCGTACTCAATCAGAAATCCGCATCCAAATCGTTCCTATTTTTTGTACCACAACATAAAAAATCACGCATCAATGAATTCCTATCTAATAATGCACTAAATGATTACTTTGTATGGAAGATTAATGCGGCATTTGGTCTAACGTGGGCCCAAGCCATCGTCTCCGAATCACTACGTTAATAAACATCGACACTTGCTTCTGTCATACTGTTTCAAACTTAATCTAGCTTTGTACTAAACGAACGTATTGCGCATATATTTTTCCTTCAATAACAGAGGCCGAATTCTAGTGAGGCTAGCTGGTATGATGTTAAATAGTCATTAAATATTCCTTTTGTTTTTTGGCTGATGCAAAGTTGTCCTCCACTTAGAACACCATTTTGTTGATCAGAGTCGTCCTATTACCTTCAATAAATATATACTTTGTTTTCTTTACATAGTTTACATTAAAAAATAGCTCCTGATTTTCTGTTCCTGAACAATTCAAATATTTAACTCTATCTCCTTTGAAATATTGACATCATCCGTATAGGCTTGAACCTGCTTTTTAATTAACGATCTTCCATTTGCCATTTCAAAGTTGCCCTATTTACTTATCATTATTTTCTTAGACTTCCATATATTGATTTGCAGGCACTGCAGTATTGCTATTTGGGACTGGTATATAGGCAGGATCTCGTAATGATTTTGTATCTGGTACTCCCTGAGCGCATGCAGCCTACTTTGTGTACCCTATAACCATTTTGATGAAAGCTTGTTTCTTAAATTGAAGAATTTTCTTAATACTCTACTCCATGCTCGATATCTATTAATGCTTTTAAGCTGACTTTGTTCCCCCGAAAATACCTCTTTAGCTGCTCCCAATCGACCTCCTCGGGGTAGGGGTCGCAAACGAGGCCGAGGTGTGGGCCGAAAGTCGTACAACTTGTCGTCTACACTACAGCCTGACATTATTGTGGAATTGGATGATGATGATGATCAGAAGGCGGATAATTTTGACAACATTAGCTGCAAAGTCAGCAAGAACAGTGTCCACAACGCTTATGACCTGAATGCAGGCGTCATTTCCGCTACTAGCGGCTCAGGAACCACTTCTAGTTCTGTTGGATTGCAAGTGTCGTCACTGATGGCTCAAGTAGCTGCAGACACATCTTACCAGCAACTACAGCTGTCTGGTCATCTTACCGCCATCCCATCCCCATTGTCTCAACAGTCGGGTCAAGCAAACCAACAAATGGCCATGACGCTGCAACATCTTCCCGTCAGTCAGGCAACCCAGCCTATTTTGCAATCTAGCGGTCTATTGGTTCATACTAGTCCATGCGCTCCACTTTCTATCGGCTGCTCCAACCCTTCCTCTGCTTCCGCTGAGGGAGTCGCTCTTGCGAATTCCCCACCGCCTTCATCACAAGCATCATCGACGACCACCGGAATGGCCGGACACCTGTTGCCGGGCTTGAGTCTCGCTCAGGCGTTAACTTCGACTGCCTCAAGTCGAACAAGAACACCGCGCAAACAAAAACGTCCTGTGGGATTGACGCGACAGCAACAACAGCTGCAAATTCAACGCCAATCGGCCAATTTGATGCCGGTGCTTCTTGTCTCCGAGCCAAATGACCAGCTTTCGCAGTCAGCTCTCTCACCACAGGCCACCCACTCGTCTACCTCACCTGTCCTTATCTCTTCGCCTCTCGTCAATATTTCCGGTTATCCGGGCCAGTTAATCATTTCGCCCGGCCAACAGCACCAGCATTTGATGCAGCAACAGCAACAGCAACAGCATTTGGCCCAATCAGCCTGTACAGAAACCATCTCCTCTGCTTCTGGACAGCAGCAACGAATTCATTTTACCGTTGCTTGTACTAACGCCACTAGTTCTGATGCGGCTATCTCCGTCGCCAATAGTGCATGCACTACTCATTCTGTGGAACGGCCCTTGTCTGCACTTCCAAATGAGGTTTTACAGGTATAATTCCGGTTTGGCTTTTCTGTCTTTTTGGAGGATCGTAAACAAGCCATATTATATTTTATCTATCTTTTCATCTCATCAATAAATATATTAATGAAAGGAGATGGATAAAGCGACATATTACGATTTTGTGTTTACGACTAATTTTTTAAATCGTTCAAGTAACAGTTATTCTAGAAGGGAGTTGACCTCGTTGTCGCAACTTGGTCTTATTGTCAGCGCGACTTAGTAGAATGCACCTAGTCCGAAGTCGTCTGCCATAGTAGTTGTTATGATTCCCGGCATCAGACAGTGGACTTGGTACATTCTCAAACGTTTCACCGGCATCGTAGTCGGCATCATCAGTCAGTGCTGCCATTCGCTGATGCCGACTACGATGCCGGCGAAACGTCTAAGAATGTATCAAGTCCACTGTCTGATGCTGGGAATCATAG